AAACGCTCCCACGAGGACAGGAAATGAGATAATGATGTGAGCATCACAAGAGGGTGACTTTAAACTCTGTCCATGCTGAGATACCTAGTTGCTCTAGAGAGTCTCCTTGGAGAAGTTGGGGTGCCTGTAGTCCTCATTGCCTTAAGCCCCAGGAGAGCAGAACAGGATCTCTTTCCCAGAGCGGAGCATGCCACCAGCACCATGTTTCTGCCTGGTTTCCTGCACTGAGCTTTGCCATGGTACAAAATCAGAGCTCCCAGCTCTGGGAGGAAGGACAATCAAGGGGCCCCAGCCCCATCAATGGTGAGGAGCCGAGGCAGCTGCCTGCAGCTGGACCCCAGCTTCAGCGCTTTACCCAGGGAACAAGTCGCACCCTGTCTCTTGTCTCATTAAAGCACAGCAGGACCCCGATTTTAGATGAGACTTCCCACTGTCCCTATTGCATATGCCTTCAGAGGGGTTAATTCTGGCTGACAAATGCTGGACACAAGCCACAGACGTGCCGAGCGAGGGTTTTGTGCATGCTGGTGGGAAGAGCCAAGGATCGGGGTCCTTGACTACCTGTTGGATCGAGAGACTGGAGAACAACTTGCAACCACTTCAATCCCTATCTCATCATTTCCATTGTAATACCTCAGGAAAACCACAGAACAGGGAATGGATTAGTGTTTTATGATCATGATAACATGACCAGCAGCATGCGCAAGGGCAGTGAGACCTTGTCCTCATGCAGGGAAGACCTGAGAAATTCCCAGCGGCTCATGCTCACAACAGCTTTCTGGTATGGCCCATCTTCACCCAGGGCGTGAAGCAGAGAACTCAAGCCAAAGTCTCTGTATGTTCCCCCAGCATGCAGGCAGGGCTGCTCAGAGCAAAGCACAGCAAAGCCAGCCTCAACCAGAGAAGGCACCAAGTCACATCAGGAAGGAACTGCTACACTACAAGGCAGACCACAGCTGTAGTAGCTCTTGTCCAACTCCTACCACACCAGTATGAAGCTCTGCCTATCGGTGGTCTGTCCAAAGCATGCTGCCTTAATCCCTTGCAATTAACCCTTTGCTATCTGCACACAATGATGAAACAGAGCTAGAGGTGGGGGCAAGATCAGCATGTTGCACAACGTTGGGAGACAGAGGGGTGCAGAGCTGGCGAGTTCCACGGACCAGGAGATGCTCTATAGCAGCCAATGTTGGACACGCTCATGCATGGACTGTTTTGGACCGTGGCAGGAATAGTCCAAGGGAGCAGCCTGGATCACTGTACATGCTGTCTCCTCCTCTGAAGTCAATAGCCTCACTTGTTCTTGGGCACAGGAGAAGGATAGCTGAGAGCTGGTCACCTTGGGATGGCTTGGGAGAACCTACCCCAGATGCTACAAACACCACCTTCCCAGCAGCTGAGCACCAGGACCACAACTGCCTCGTCCCAAACCACGGCGTGGAGAAGGGGTTTCTCTCCTCCTCCACTCCTGTCTCCACCCAGCCCAAAGCCCCCTCCTCTCCCTCCCCCCAGTAGTGCTGCCATCTGTTTTTCTACTGATGGCAGGGGATGAGATGTTCCACTGGCCCTCAAGAGGCGAAGCACGCTCAGTGCTAACTTGTATTCCTGACTGGCTCCTAGAAGGGTTTGCATCCCTCCCTCCCTCACTGAACTACGTGCCTCAGCACTCTGGGGATGGGGAACTTGGCAAGGCGAGAGACCGGGAGGCAGATGGACGACCAGATTAATGGAAAGAGAAGGGGGGTGGGGAGAGGAGTGAGAGGTATGAGCAGGCAGGCTGATCCGCCACCAGTGGATAAAGATGAGCGAGAATCCCTCTAATGCTATTGCATGGTGACCTGAACTTTTCAATGCAAGGCAGAGCTCCAGCTGAGACTGGGGAGGTTGAGGCTTGGCTACTGCTGCCATGCCCCGGCCCAAAGTGACTCCACCAGGAAGAGACAATATGAGCAGCCAGGTGGCCTGGATTTCTCTTACATAGGGTTGTTCCCCTCACTGAGGCGTCCAGATGAGAAAGCTTCCTCATCCAACACATGCTCAGCAGTCAATAGAGAGACAACAGCATCTCCGAGGGGTGACTCAGACCTGAGGTCACCTGGACAGTCCACTGGAACAGCATTTCACTGCCCAGTGGAGAGCAAAGGCTGGGATCCAAAACGAGGTGCCTACAGTAAGGGGTTACTGAGAAATGAGGTGGAACCTGGGACTGAGGCTCACATGGACATGGGAAGTCAAGCTGAACCACATCAGACCCAGCAGGGGCAGAACATTTCTCATGCACGAAGGGGAGAACAAGAAAAGGAGATGTGGTGGTGAGGCACCATGCAGCAAGGATGGATTACAGGTTATGTTCCATCTCTACCCAACTCTTGCTGTCTAATGTCTCCACATCCCACAAGAGATTGGGTCCCAAGTGAAATGGCCTCCAAGAACTGCAATGCTTTTGGATGGAGGCAGGAGAGGAATAGGAATGAGGGTGGAAGCCAGCACAGATAAGGTCAAAACAATATTCAGGGCATTTTCTGGTCAAACGAGTGGACTGGTAACACCTCCCTTAGTCCCAGTGCCGAGCAGCAGCTCCCAAGCAATACTTTGAATGAGACGCTTTCGGTAAGAGTTATTCTTTATGGCAAGACAATGACTACTACGAAACACATGCGAAAAAATGTTATCTAGGAAGACTTGGCTTATCAGTCCAACCTTAACAACCTGCAGTATCATAGAAGAAACCCAATGAAAAGAATAATCAAAGACACATATGTGAGGAGAAGAACAGGGAGGAGGCAGCTGTGAGCTGTATCAAAAAGGAGACCATAAGGGTGAGAGAAACTATCTGAGGATGAATCTTCATTAGTATTACAGTGAGTGACTGTGACCTTAAAAATAGGCCTACACTGACGAAATTGCTAACGAGGAAGAAGGCATTGTTCCACAGAGGAGGATCAGGATATCTCACAAATAGTTAGATGACCCGAAGGACTAGAGAGAAACAGGATGACATTCACTTGTATGAAATTGAAGGGCAAGCTCTTGTACTGATGGTAAAACATCTGCTATTAGCTTGGAACTCATCAGTTGGAAACAAAGGAGGTAGAGAAAGATCTGGGTGTACTTGCTGACCTCAGGATATCTCTGAGCTGCCAGACAGATGCAACTGCAGAAATAACAGATATAGTCCTGGGTCCTATCAAAAGAGACATTTCCAGCACAAGGAAGCTTTGTGCAGGGCTTTGGTGAGACCTCAGCTGGAAGAGTATGTACTGCTTGGTTATTCCTGATGAAAGATTAATTGAAAGCAGAAAAGGCATTAAAAAGTCTACAAGGGTGATGAAGAGCATGGACTCTCCATCTTCTGGTAGGACACTGCAAGTTTTTGGCTTGCTTAACCTCCTGTATGCTAAGACTGCTATCTAGGATTGCTTTCTAAGAGTAAAAGGGGATGACAACCATCCAGGAACAGAAAGAGGTGATGTTGGCTGTGAGCATGTTTGGGTGGCCGACGAGAAGACAGTGACTGTTACTGTGAGGTGCGGGGACTTCAGGTAGTTAGTCCCTATCTCACACATACACACACAAAAATAAACCGGCATTTTTCATCATCCCCTACGGGACCTGTTGCTGAACACACAGACCCAAGGTGAGGTACAGAAACCATAGAGGAGGAAGGGCTGGGGTTGGTCTGGTGTACCTGAGCCTAAGGGAGCATCCTCACACCTGTGTTGGCTTTCTCTCACCTGAGCTACACAGGAAGGGAAGAAGGAGCACCTCCCACCTCATCTGTTTCTTTTTTGGAAGGACCAACTCTCAGAGAGCACAAGGAGTGGTTCTCCCTTGCTAGCAGCAGAACCACAGACAGGATCACCACAACAATCTGGACTGCTCTTCCACATAAGCCCACCTACTTCAAATACATTGCCCCAGAGCTGAGCTAGAAGATGTGGTTTAGAAAGACCTGGAGCTCCCAAAATGCCAGAGGATCCATCACTAAGCTCTGGTACTCAACCATCAAACACCTCTCTAGCACACAGCACCTCATTGCCCTATACTTGCAGCCCGTGCCTTGCAGTAGAGACACACAACACAGCCACTGAGTTTGGGAAATAACTGCTGCACCTTCCATTGACCATAACATTTTCTTCCTGGGGATGTGCCCCCTGCAACATCGCCCTTTCTCCCACATTTCAGTCGACAAAGAGCTGAGCTAGGCAGAATCGGTGAGCAAAAGCAATCATTTGCATTGAAATGAGCACATTAAAAAAAAAAAATCAGCAAAACCCAAAGTTATTTTTAGTGTGCAAACTTCATTTACATTTTTCTTTTTGGTAAAAATCCCAAATTTTCAGCACACAACATTCCAAAATACCCCCCCTTTTTCCTTTTATCCTCAGTCGTATTAACAACTAGCACTTGACAAAGACTGCCTATTTTTAATTTCCTTTGCGAACTGACTCCAGGCTGCCTATGATTTTCTCCTGCCTGGTCATTATTCAAAGCGAAATGAGTAGCTAACCTATTTCTGCAAGGAATTCTTTGTCTGCAGATTCTTCAGGAGCTGTTTGTTTTGCATGTACGAGGCTGGAAATCCTAGTTGTTTTGGTTGGATGTGTGAGTCACGCAGGGCTTTTCTGGATCCACATTACTCTAGAACTGTGGTTCTGGTTAAGGAAATATTCAGGCTTGGAGTCAGCATGGGCTTTTTGGGGATACCCCTTGCCAGTGAAATCCTTTTGCTAGAACATTCTTCCAGGGCTGGCCAAGAAGCAGCAGGCAAGGAAGGAAATGGGTTATTCTGCAGCTCTTGTTCCCCAGCATCGCCCTGGCTGCGGGGGACCATAACAGGGATGCTTGTTCTGGTCTCTCTACTCAGCCAGCAAGCCCTGGCCCAGCTTGGAGCAAACGTGAAGTCAAAGCCATCCGGCTTTGTGCTGGAGCGAGTCTTCGTTGCCAAGAGCTCTCCTGCAAGGAGTAAGTGGCTCATGCTGGGGGCAGGGGTGGCTTACCTCGCATGACTGGATGCAGTGAATGACGGAGGGGTCTGGATACCACCGCAGCCTGCCCGTGCACACAATATGCTGAGGAGGGAAGGAGAAAAGAGCTGTTAGGTGAGGCGGCAGAGGGAGGGCAACAACCACCAATGCTCTCTGGAGGTAGAGCATTGCTTATTGTGGTGCAGAACAGCAGTGGCACCCCCAGGACCCTCCCTACACCTCTGCCCAGCAGGAAACCCTTTCGAAACCCATCAAACCCAAGGCAGCTGCACCTGGTTCACCCACAAACCAGGGTACACTGTTCAAGGCAGAGGCTAGACAGACACACACACGCGTCTACGTAGGTGTACATAGATACATGACTGAGAGAGGACAAAGGGAGATGGCAGGGACCACCAGAGAAGTGGGTTTGGCTGGCAGTGCCACTTCATGGGGGCTGAACTGGCCACAAACTGCTGCTGGGAGGAAGCCACCCGGGGCCACGACAGGCTGAGTCTGCTGTCACCTCTCTGCGCGATACTGGATTCACCAGCTTCTCGCTTATATAGGATGGGGGGCTCAGCCAGTCATCACTTGGTGCCTGCATCAATTTGTTCATTCACCCCTGCTCAGGCTCCGAGAACCGAGTCCCAGGAGGACTCACCTCCTCGAACCTGGCCTGAAGCAGATACATCAGACTCACGTTCACTCACAGGGCTGACGTTATCACTGATATTTATGAGGCACGAACTCAGCTGTTGCAGCCAACTGGACACAGGAGCAAGATGTGAAGGGCTCGGTTTCATTGTGCTGGAATGCATTGTCCCACTCATTCAGCGGGGGTTTGTGGGGAGCACTCATGATTACACAGGGGGAAGAAAAGCTCCACCACACATGTAATTTCCTCCTTGTAAAGCTCAGGCAGACTTTGAAATCTGAGGCCCCATAAAACAACGGCTGGCCTGTGAAAGTGTCCTAGGATGCCCTTCACAGCGTGGGAGTTGCACAGAGGGGCACATATGTTTTCTCCTAGCCTCCCATTTGAAATGAGCAGTAGCGTGCAGACCGGCTCCAGCATTCCCGGGTGGCACAGCAGCTGGGGATAGGGCAGCTCTGCCCATGCAGACCTGCTGCAGGTCCTTCTGCTGCATGTTTGGTCAAGACCCTGAGGGGGCTGGGACAGGATGAGGTCCTGGCCATCCTCAGCCAGTGCATGGAAGGCAGACATGGAGGGAGCCACCATCAGATGGGGCAGAGGCTGGGGATGCTGGCTGAGCTAGCCAGTTCCTGCTCAGCCCGGATGATGTCTGCATCCTAACCCTACTGGTGTGTTTCATATGTGGTTGTTGTGCAACTTGAATGGCATTTTAGCATATTCATATTGGTATACTCGTATTCCAGGCTGGGAAATAAGGGCAGAGGGACAAACCTGCTCAGCTGTGGGATGCAATGAATCAGAGCTGAAAGCAAAACAGGACCATGCCCTCTCCAAGTGGCTTCTGCAGCTCCCTGTGTGGTTCGCCCCATCCTCTCCATCACCTTGGGAGCACGACAGCTCCCGGGAATGGCAAGCTGTTGGAGGCTTGGAGGAGCAAAGAGGGGAGCAGAGGCAGGAGCCAGGGCAGAGAGGAAAACAAGACGGTCCAGGGAGAGAGTTCCTGGCAAGGGGGAGCGCCGCTTCTTAAAATAACACCTCCCCTCCCTTCTCCTCCTCCTCTCTGCAAAATGCCTCCCCTTGCATGAGAGCCCATAGCGGCAGTGAAAGGAAAGCCGAATGCCACTGCCTCGACGGGCCAAACCATCAGATCCCTCAAAGGCGAGGACTCCTTCCAAGGCTCGTGCTTAACCATCCCACACGCCCCGGGCATCCTCACCCCCCGGCAGCGATCTGTCATGGGTCTGATTCAAGGCGACATACAGTAGTATCCACAGGCATGATGCTGGGCCTCCTGCGGGTTCCCAGGAGGAGGAAAAAGCATTTGGATGGGAGTGCTGGCTCCTGGGAAGATTGTTTGCTTTTCTTTGTTCCACCTCCTTCCTTATGTATCTCATTTTTATTTTAAGAAATATTACCCCGGCAGAGCTGCTTTTTGGGAAAGTTGTGCCGTGAGGTTCCAAACTATTTGAGCTGTTTTGCCTACAAAATGAGTAAGAGATGGAGAGGGAAAAACTCCCCCGTTCCAGCAGCAGAGGCAACCGGCCGGCCAGTGGGTCATGGCAGCCGGAGACACCTTTCAGCTGACAGTGCCCTGCCTCCTCCCTGGCCGGGAGATGCCTGCCTGCAGTTGCATCTCTGCCGCCAGGTAACCAGGGACCCAGGCTCATGCCGTGCCAGGGGCAGCTTTTGCTCTCCCAGCACACTGGCTGACAATAACAGCAGCTTAACAGGTTTAGGCATGTGGCACGTCCTGAAAAATCAGCGGGATTCCTGCATTTAACTTCATTCGTTGTGGTATCCTGCAAGTCCTTGAAAGCTGGCTTGGGAGCTGATAACTTATGGTGAACTTTGGTACAGGAGAGCGGGAGGCTGTGCAGTAGCATCTGCAGGGGAGGGAAGAGGAGGAAGAAGTGGTAGGAGGGAGGACCACCTTGGCACTGCAACCTTGTTATGGGGAGCAGCAGGTACCTCCAGAGCATGTGGTCTGGGCAGCTCCTCGGAGAGGACCAGCCAGCCCCGAGCTCACTTATGCTGCTTGTCTTTCTAAGTCTTACCCTTCTTCACCCAAGGCAAAGGGATTTTGGTTAAAAAACACTCGATAGAGAGGAGGGGGGCTCCCCTCTATGCTGCCAGCAAACCCCCTGCTAGAGGAATCCACCTCCCTGTTTACCTGGACTCTGGTGGGCTGCAGATGGTGATCCATAGTCTCAGCAGTTACGTTTTCGGGCAGTATGACGGGGTCACTGGGAGGTATGATACAGGAAGGTATACACACAGCACCTGCAGGAGGAGAGAGAGCCTTGAAGACTTCATCAGGAACCAGGCAATGGTGTTTTAGAAGAGGGCACCAGACCCAAATGTATAGGCTCCTCACTGAGGGTAGAGGTGGATATAGGGGAGACCCTTTTCCTCCCAAACTGGGATGACAATTCCTTCCCCAAATCCTGAATTATGCAAGAGCCTACAAAAGTTGTGGCCAATTCCCTTCTCCCAGATGAGAAGAAAATTGAACACGCCCTAAGAGATAGATTCAAGCCCTGATGGCAGGACATGGGATCCAGCATGAAAATAAGTCTGGCGTAGATGCTATGGGATGGTTATTGACGTGTTAGTAAGCATCTTTCACAGTTTTTCTACCATGCTGAATTCCCACTGCCTTCCTATGGCTTAGGAAGAAAAAAAAGCTGCAAAAAACACCTTGGAAAACCAGGTGGATCCCAGCCCTAACCCCAGCCACACATCAGGTCTGTCTAAAGCTTAATCTTAGCAGGCCCTGCCCTTAGACTCGCCTCAGCCTGTTTTGATCAGACCCGGATGACTGGTATGTTTGCTTCAGCGTGATATGGGCTTTGCTCAAGCGCGTCCTGTCCAGCAGGATGCCAGATAAGATGCAACAACTGTCACTGAGCATTGCAGCTTTTCCTGAAAGCACAAAGTGACCAAGTCCTGGAGAAAGAAATGGATGATGTGGTCCCTCATCTGGTGAAAGTGCCCTGTTACACATGATTGTCACTGCGGCTTTTATCTAGGATTTGCCACATTAACCCTGCAAACATCAGCAGTAGTAACAAGTAGAGAGACCTTGCATGGATGGAGGGTTAGAGATTAGGAAAATTACTGCAAAGGGCTAGGTTTGCCCTAGAGACAAGTCCCTGCTCCTTCTGAAGAGAGAGATGCTTACACTGGAGCCAGCTTTAGCTTTGAGTCTTGCCCATGAGTACAACCAGGGCATGCACAAGGCTAAAGCCACCCCTGGCTCTATGTTTAGAAAGAGGATGGAAGAGAAAACAGGGTTGTTTTTTTTCATAGATTTAGTAGGGATTGGTACAAGAAGAAGAGTCATCATGACCTTTAGCTCTCTGGGAGGGCTGAGTCAACATAAGATTTGGTTTTCTGTTTAGTTTTCATCTGCCCTTACCTATACCATGCCCCTGCTCGCACTTGTACTCCACGAAATTCAGCTCTGGGGGCGGCAGGCAGGTGCCCTGTAAGTTCTCACACAGTTTGAACTCCTCTGTCCATAAGCCGTCCTTGGTGCAGACGATGGGAACCTGCAAAGCAGAGGGAGAGCAGCCAGCATTACTACTGGCAGAGGTAGGGCTCACCCTGCCTGGCCACTGCCCAGCTCTAGGGGGAGCAAAATGCAAGGAACCCCCTCCTGCCAGTGAAGTCCAGAGGGAAGTTCTCTGGGGCAGCTGGGTTGCAGCCATTTGGTCCAGCCTATGCGTGCTTTGCACTACTGACCAGAAAGCAAATTGTTTTCCAGCTGCTGCTGGATCCCACCAGAGGGAATTGACTGCACTTCTTTTGACAAGACCCCTCCAGCAGGTTAGATGCAAAACCTAGGTGGAAGAGCCTGGCAGGCAGCAGCCTCCATCCCCCGGCAAGCCCCTTAGTTAGCAAGCCTGCTGCAGCAAGGTTGCCCATCATCCCACGTGCATACATTCACAGCAGCTCCCCAAACCCACTGGAAACCCTCTACTTTTGCTTTCAGACCCTTTTCATTCAAGACAAGCAAGCTTGCTTAGGACCACTGCTTTTTGGAAGGGTCACCAGGGAGCAGGAGAGCATCCCCAGGCAGTAGTGCACCCTGTGCCATGGCTGGTATCCAGCAAGAAAAGCTTTAGGTTTGCAGGGCAACTACTGTTTGGTGGTACAAGGACATTTGGCCCTGGAGATGGCCAAGCTGCCACGGGGCTCCTCTGCACAGTGGGGCACAGGGAGCCCTGCTGTTTTCAGGTGCTCTGAAGCACAACGCTTGGCCAATCTCTGCCTCCCCCCCACGTCACTCACCTGTTGTCCCTGCGGCTCGCAGTTGAGGATGCACTGGCTGTCCAGCTCAAAGCCCTGGGTGCAGTTGTACATGCCCTCGAAGACGGGAGGGGGTGGCTCACACACCACAGGGACGCAGTGCCCCTCTTCCCACTGCCCGCTCTCCAGGCACTGGACTTTCAGGAACTTCCTGGGGAAACATAGATGATAGACTTGGCTGCAGTGCCCCAAATAAACCCCACCTTGGCTGTACCAAGCATCCCACAAAGACAGGAACAGCCTAGAGGCATCTCTCCTGGAACACAACCGAGCTCCCTGCGTGGGGTTTTCCTATGCCATCCCACCCCTCCCCACAGGCAGGTCCTCCTGAAGGGACAGCCCGCGCTCAACCAGGAACTTTTCTTCCCATTGCTGGGGTGATCACACTGATTTAGGAGCACTAGATGCTTTTTCCTTGCGCTCATCACCCCATTGCTCCCTCCCTCCTGTGGTGCCACTAAACCATTCTTCTCTACCCCACAACCCCTGCGGGGTCCTGGGCTGCTTTGTCCCATCGTCAGTAGCTACGTACTTTGCTGGATGGAGTGAGCCTCCACCAGTAAATCCTGCTGGCCTGCACCCAGCTACTCCTGAGGCTCTTCTTTGTACTGCAGCCAGGTCAATCCCGCTCTTGCTGAGGGGCTGTCATACTGCAGCAGACCAATACCATCCTATGCTGCTAAAACAGCCCAGGTGCAAACCACTTGCCAAAAAAATGATGAAAAAGAAAGGAAGAAAAAGTCCAGGAGCAGAACCCACCCACTTTTCAGTCTCCTGTCCTTGGCAGCGATAGAGACACCACATCTTTTACATAGATGCATCAAAACCCCATAAGGCATCAGGCTGGCTAGGGACTGCTCTCCCAGAAGAAGACATGTCACTGTGACCCTAGACTTTGACACACCGGTTTTGACAGCCTTGATGGGCTTTACCTGAGCTAGTGCCAATTTTTCCGTCCTTAATAAGACTTTTCCCTCACCCCCATCCTTCTTTACCAGACACCCTGCTCCAGCTGCTTGCCCCTGCCCTCTCCCACCACCAGTGCCAGCAGGCAGGGCTCCAGGTTCTGCGTTATGGAGTTTATAGCATCCCACAGGTACACAGAGGGGCAGTTAACTGGGTTAGAGAAACCCCTGGGGGGAGGCACTAAATTGCCCTTTGTTCTGAGTGGCAGCAGACATTGCGTGGGGCCACCCCACTGCCCCCAACACACAGTGCAGGGTCATGCAGCCCAGAGCAGCCAGGGGACCCCATCTGCACCCCACTGCCAGACCTGGGGCAGGAGTTGGCGGCCATCCCCATCACATTTCTGCTGGGAACTCCTGGACAGGAAATTTGAGAGCTTTTTGAAACATTTTCCTCTTTTTAAATATTTGCGGCTCTCAGAGATTCCCATTCTCCCTTCAGAAATCAGGGATCTGTTTTTCCTAAAGACTGTATAAGGGCGACAGTGTGTTCCTGCTGTGGTGAATTCAGGCTCCAGCAGGTAACGTGGAAGCAGGCAGGGGAGGGGATGGGACATGGCAGGTCCCCTGCACAGAGCTCTGCACAAATCTTCCCACCAGTCCACGCCGGGAGCATAGGTGGCTGCAGTGTGAGCACCTGAGCAGCAAGTGGTGCTGCAAAGTCACCCCAAGAGCAGTAGCCTTGAATTGACTGAAGGGACCTGCAACTATGTACTATTTTGGAAGGGTGATGAGGAAGAGCAACTCTGGATCCCATTGTGGACATCTGTGGTTTCAGCCTACCCCTAATTTAACTTTCTTGGTTGCTTGCCCTTTCTACAGGGATGACAGTACTGCCTTTTGAAGATGTCCCCATCAGACCTTGCCTCCTCCCATGTCTGTTTGAACACTTTGCCCACCTTTAAAGGTGAACGAAGGTGCATGCCGGGAGGTACTGGTCCACGTTGGATGTCCAGGTCCTCAAGCAGCATTTTTCCCTTCTTGTATGGCCTGGCACGCAGGGTGCAATCCAGCTGTACGACTTGCAAGGGGTAAATCTCTGGGGGTTAAGCTGATGGCATTACAGTGATAGGAGCAAACTGGTGGTGCAAAACCTCACTGCAACAGCCATGTCTCAGGCACTGAGCAAACTCCTTTACAAACCAGGAGCATCCCAGCCACACACTACTTCTTACTTCCCCACTGGCCAGCGGATTATCACTGATGCAGCCACTGCACCTCCCTGTTGCTCCTCCAAACCATGGCAGAGGCCCTTTGTCCAGGAGCCACAGGAAGACCTGGAGAGAGGGGCTGAGCATGGGGAGGACACGCCCTGGGAGCTGCAGTTTGCACAGGTGCATGCTGTGGTTTAGAACCCCATCGTCTTCACTAGAGCTCCTCATCTTGATGTGGTGCTGGTGTGACCCTAGCCGGGGTCGGCACCATGCACAGCCTCTTCCACCTCTTCCCAGACCTGCACCCCCCTTAGACCTAGGGAGAGAAACCACCTTGCTCTGGAGGCTCACCCCACGGCCAGCACCCGTGCTGGGGAACTTCAAACAGGGCTAGCCTGGGCTGACCCCAGGGTAGAAGGTGGTATGTGGACCACCGCCGCACATATGAAGTGAGCAGTTTATGTTAAGGCACAGAGAAAGGAAGGGAAGGGAGAGGCTTTAAAAAAAAAAAAAAAATAAAAAAACCACAACCTCATAGCAGCTTGAAATTTCCAGACCCCCCGACTTCTTCTGATCTGGGTTAGCGGCATTTCTTGAGGATTAACAAGGAAGCCAGGAAAATCAGAGTCAAAGCTTCCCCCTCCAACTGGGCAAGCGGATGCCTAATGGGTAGAGGAGGCAGGGGAAACATCTGAGGCCAGCGAGGACTGCATCTGACATGAAGGCATGAGCGCTCACCTGGCTCTGGGAGCTGAGCATGCAGGAGTTTGGCCAGGATCCAGCCGCGTACTGGGGCGGCCAGCTTGGGGGAACTGGGCCTGCTGTACAGAAATGGTGATAAATGAGCCTAAAGCCTCATCTCCCATGGCAGGAGACTGACAGCTTCAAAAAGAATAGGAGGGCAGCAAGGAGATTTGCTGGTAAATTGAAAGAGAGCAACATCAGCTTTGCAGGACCTCTGCTGCTGTGCTCCAAACAGCCTGGGCAACCTGGGCTGTAAATCTTCATCAGAGACCTTGGAGGTGGAAGTGACACAGGATTCCCATTGACAGCCTGTGTTTTCTTTACCTGGATGCTTGCCTCCCTCAGCTGCGCTTTTTATCTGGAAGGGGCTAGATGTGGGCAGAAGCAGAGAGTGCCCCACGCCTTTGCACCCACCACAAATGTTCAGTGGCCCAGTGCCCCGCTGAACTCCAATGCTCCTGGGTTAGGCTGTCCTGCTTTGCCTGCTGCAATCTTTCTGATATATTTCCAGCCCCAAGTCTGCTAACTCCTTCCAGTCCATTTTCTCTTCCACATTATCCCACCTCCTCTCCCTCTTTCATGGTCTCCATAGTCTTTGAATGGGCAGAGGAGCCGATATCTCCAGGGAAGCTCATCAGGGGGCTAGGCTGTCTTGTGGCTCCCTTGACCTCTGGTCAAAATGCAGGCTGAGAATTTCAAAGCTGCCTGAAAAGACCTGGGTGCCCGGTTCTTCTTTGCTTCATTCCCTCAAGCTAGCAGAAGGGGCTCAACCCCTCACAAAAGTAGCTTTGAGATCCAAAAAAATCTCTTCTCTCCAAGGAATCATCCTGCATTGGGCAAGCAAAACAACTGTTCTGCAGGGTCTGACCTTTTTGGTCCCCAGACTGACAGCATCCCCCCAGCATTAGAGTGCTCTTCTAAAGGATGTCCTGGATATTCCTGTTGGAGAGCTGCTTCAGATGGCACTTTGTAGTGTAAGCAACAGCAGGGACCACTGTGGGGGTGATACCCATTTTCCCCGAAGTATCTGACCTCTGACTTTCAGGCTGGGTCTTTTCAATGCTGCAGCCCTGGATGATGCCAAACATTGCTCCTTGGCAGTTCATTGCTGTACACAATCCAGGTGGGTGGGTTGGACAGCCATTGGACAGATGCTGCCCAAAACTAGAGACCTCCCATCACAAAGCACGAATGCATGTGTTAAATTCCCCCTGTTACTGTTATTTTGGGGCTAGACGTGAAATAGCTTGGCAGCTGAAAACCAGGCTGTTATGTGGGCTCTTCAGGCTGAAAACAGATTTCCTTTAGGAAGAGTCAAAGAAGATTTACCCTTCATGTCAGCATTGTCAGTCAGATGATCCTGCCAGCAGAAAGGCAGCAAATCTCTGTCAGGATCTTGATTACACAATCAACACTTCCTCGAGGATCTCTTGTTGACAAGTAGTGATTTCTGAAGGACCTTTCCTCACTCAGGTTAATAGATAAAAGCATCTTCTCTGAGACAACAGATTTCTTTATCCCCTTTCTCTTCCACTTATGCTATGGGAAATGAATTTCAACTAAGATTGTGGGAGCCTTCTAAGTAACCTTACTGCCCCTGCAGCAAAATTCAACTAAGGAAACAGAAGTGAGGGAATCATATGAGCATCTCTGTCCAAGAGCATCTCATCTTGGATAGAGACAGCTGGATCCCAGCCACAGCTCAGGCCTGCATAAGGTGGGCACTGTAGCCCTACCACATGAGGAGCAAAGCCCCAGGGGTTGGGTCCCCAGTCCGGCTGTAGCAGCCATGGTGTTTTATGAGGTGCATGAGAGAGGAATGCACTGCAGAAGGCTGATCAAAAAAGCAGCTAGTCAGGATGTGATGCTGAACCCTGGCTGGGTTGGGTTCCTGCTCACTCACATGACAGCTTAACTGTCCCTGTCCATGGGGGATCCAGAGCCATCCCTGAAGGAAGGTGCCTACAAGCAGCCCTTGAAGGAAATGACCAAGCTTCTTATAACAGCGCTGTGAGAAGATGAGCATATCTTTCACATAGTAGCAGAGTGGACTGATCCCTTGGGAACCCACAGACACCCAAAGATGCCTCTACACCTTCCCTGGAGAACAGTCTGAGCCCCATAGTGGTTGGCGAGGCCAGCTGGGGGTAACACCCCTTCCATTGTTCCCCTCTAAAAAGGCACAATCGCTAGAGCTAGAAGAATAATTTGGAGGGAGCCTGACTATATTTCCAAGGTTGGGTTAGTTAGCTGGCATGGGGACTCTTCAGTGTCAGCTGTGGATCATGCCTGGCTTTTGTCCAATATCTAGTACACAGAGTCTTGCTTTCTTATGCCCATCAACACCTGTATGACACTAAATCCTTTAGCAAGGCTGGTGCTCGCTGGGTTGATGGACAACAGGGAGACGATAGATCAAGAACTGTTTGCTGAACCCAGAAAGAACCCAGAAAGACTTCAGAAGACCCCAAAACTTGATGTCCAAGTCATCAGCTGAGACCCTGCTCCCTCACCAGCACATCAGCATCCTGCACCCCACCAGTCCTGGCCCCTTCCAGAGCTCTCTATCACCTTCTCCAACAACTTGCTTTCTCTGAAACTGGCCTGAACAAAGAAAGCAACCTCTCACTCTGGCAGCTCCCACCCTCTGCCTGCCAGGGCTGAAACACCAGAAGGCTTTCCAGCAATCCAGCAATTGACTGGCCTGCTTATGGCTAGTAGCTGCTACTCACTACACATGCCAAGGGGTTTGTACTCATGCTGAGTATACACGCAGAGCTCCAGATGAGATGGTACACCAGCATTTACTCTTCCAAGGAAAGGCTTTTGCTTTGAATCAGGCGACTCACATAGCAGTTAATCTGTATGATAAGGAAACAATGAAGTTTCTGCTTCTGTTAATGTGTTGTGGTTTTTTTGCTTACCGTAATAGGATCGTACTCTACCATCAAACATGTTAGACGAATTAGTAGTAATGATAATAGCAGATGTGAAAATGCTATGTCAACGTGCATTGCTATGAAAATGTAAACCACTTCACACCATTTTCCTTGACTTGTCTCACAGGCTGTTCAGACCCATAGAGAAGTTACACACACATTAGAGGAGCCTCAGGAACTCCCAGAGGGCAACCTTCTCACCAGCAGTTGCTGCAGCATGACTGAGATGGTCTAACTTTGCAAGCTGCGTTGATCTGATTGCATGTCCTGTGCCTGAAATGCCACAGGCACGCAAGCTGCTCCACAGTTTGCAAAGCAGTCCATGTGATTGTAGCCATGATCATAATTTGCTTAGCTCCCCTTGGCCCAAGAAATGCTCCTAACACTGCAAAAAGCTGTTTACAGAAACCACTTCCTTCATTACAAGGCAAGAAATTTGGCAACTGCTTCCCAGTGCACAACAACCCTACCCCAGAGCAAAGTAGAGATGAAGTCTGCATCCAATTAAAACTGGAAGGGGGCATTAAAAAATTAGCACATAATTACCTGATTTGGGCTAGCATCAAGACTCTGGGGAGGACCCGGCCAGTGCCAGGGAATCTTTATTGACCATACCCAACAGGGACTGCAGCTGGAGGCATCACAAACAAAATGCTGCTTTACCCCCCAGCGTCACAATATTGGCTGAGCACAGGGCTAGTGAATCACCAGGAATTTTTCCCCGAAGCATCGGGAGAAATCTTCTCCAATTGAAATGCCAATGCTTGAGATTAAATTTAGCCAAGACGTGCAGGGGGTAGAAAGTTAACCCTGACAAAAGGCAGTCATTCATTCTTACAACCCCCAGGTGCCTTTATCTATGTTTTTTATCACTCTTAGGAAAGACAGCAGCTCCAGCATCTTATTACATCTAACTACCTGAGAGCCCACAAACACTTCTGTACATGCTTAATTTTCAGCAACAAGTACGTTGAGGTGCATGGGAAAATTTGCATGCTGTAGGTTAAGGCACTTAATGTACACATGCATGCAACAGCAGCTTGCATCTTGTTCCCACCTCCTTTCACCTAAACCAGGGGAATGCCTCTCGTATCTCAAGAAATCTGCATGACCAGAGCAAGTTGCTCTGCCTTGTACCTATCAAATCAGCTCTTCGAGACTGCCAACATACCATCACCTCTCCTCCTTGCTCACACTGGGAGAAGAGGAGGAAGGAAATGATGATAACAGGTCTGCCACAGACTTACTTCTTGAGCTTGCCTGCGGCGTTCTCAGCCACATGGTATCCAGGCTTGCACTTGTAGCGACAGACTGAGCCCACGTCGTGGTTCCCCTGCAGGCACCGCAGGACCAGGAGCTTGGCATTGGCCACCACGGGAGGCACGTCGCACTCCAGCTTGCAGTAGGCTTCAGGGAGTGACCAGAGACCGTCCTCCAGGCAAGTCAGCCACTGGTTTGTTCCTGACCCCAAAAGAGAAGCAGTGTGTTTGGGTTACAGCCGACCCGGGAATGGGGTCCTGCTGTGCGAAGCTCAGAGCAACCAGCAAAAGTCCTCTTGTTAGAGTGGCTACTGATGCCAATGGAGGCAACAAATACAAAGACCATGGACTCTGTTGCATGGTTGTTCAAGCTGGGGCAGAAACCAAACTCCTTGAATGCAGACAGAAATGGGGAAGGGACAACTTTAGGGAATGGAGAGAGGATCTTGGTTCTGCAAATCTCCCCCAGACTTTCCCTTCAACTTCCCCTCTCTGGTGATGCCTCAGAATAGCCTTCAGTGGGTTGGGGGCTTTTGTGTATGACAGTTATCTGTCACGTTTAGCTCAGCCCATCTCCATTCTCCTCAGGTGCTTTTTGCAGCTTGTCCTTACCTTCCCTTACAAGCTGTCATACCCTGTGCTACACGTGCACTGCAAGTTGGAAAGTGCCAGCAGGACAGATATGGGAGACTTAACTGGTGTGACTGGGAATTCAAACCACCCGTTACAAAAGGCTTGTGTTGAGTATTACAGCCCAACTTTCTGTTGTCCTTCTAGAGAAAAGGAGGTTTGGTAGACCCAGCTAATGGGTGGCTGAAACTGCACAGCTCTGGGTGCCTGCAATAAGCGTCCAGGACTGCATCACCCACATGGCGTGGATGATGGATGGTTCACTGGGAACTGCTGAGCAAGAAAAAAAAAGCTGGACTAGAGAGAATGGGACTTTTCCTACCAAGAGGTTTGGATCAGCAGGTTCCTGGTGCAGCCAGACTGCTCCACGCTCCCTTCAAGCATTGCTTTCTTTTTACAGGACCGCTGCTCTGCCTACAGCTACTCTTGGACCAGGGACAAGACCATGCCTCCGTGTAGCGCCTGCATTCCCAGTGGCCCGGCACTGCCGAGGGCCACCCCCTGCCTCCAAGTGCCGTGCAGCAGTGTCATCCTTTCCTTGCCTATTCTTAGCATTTATTAGCCTCAAGAGTCTGCCCGTAAGGATGCGAGCCTTCAGGGAGAAAAAGCATCAGGCACGTCCCTGCATCGACAGCTCAGCCGAGTCAGCTGGACCTCTGTGGGTTTACCCACGTGGCTCAACAGCCTTGGCTGAGCACCACCAGCCGTCGTGTCAGCTGCTGGAAGTCACCCAGGGTGCTCCATCAAGG